TTCTCACCTTTCCTTCTCCCGAGTATTGGGTGCTTAACATGGGAAAAAAACACGCTAACAACAACGTTCGAAATTTTAGTGTCAGGTGGCATGTTTGTGGGGGCGACACGTTGGGTGATAGGCTGAATCGCTGATAGCTTGTTGGGAAAAATGTTGTCAAATGAAAATAGGTTAAATGCTAAATTTGGTCACTCAACTTTATATAGTTACACTTTTTTGGTCCCTCAATAATTTTTTGCACTTTTTTGATCCTCACCTTTGAGAAATACACAACGTTAGTCCTTCCGTCAGTTAAGTATGACGTGACTATTAAATAATTCAATGTGGTATTTTCTTTTAATTCTTTTGATGATGTGGTAATATCATTTATTATAATTATATTACATAAATAAATAAAAATATCACATCAAATTAATATTTATATTTTAATAAACAATAAAAAAACAAAATTAGCTTATTACCCTCACCCTCTCAATTCAATCCATCTTCTTCCCCTTCTTTCTTTCTCTTTCTCTTTTTCTTTCTCTTTCTTTCTTTCCTACCCACCGAACCCAGATAGAACCCAACAGTTGGGTTCGATGGAACCCAAATCAACTAAGTTCCGTCAAACCTAGCTGCTGGGTTCGTTCGACTGTGCTAAGTATCAACGAACCAACACATCTCCCACTCTTAATCCATCTTCTTCCCCTCTTTCTTCCCTCTCTGTCAAACCCAAATTTGCTGGGTTCCATCGATCCCTTTCTTCCCCTCCTTCTTCCCTTCTTTCTTTCTTCCCCCTCTTCTTCCTTCTCTATCAAACCTAGATCTGTTGGGTTCCATCGAACCCAATAGATCTGGGTTCCTCGAACCCTTTCTTCCTATCCTTCTTCCCCTCTTTCTTTCTTCCCCTCCTTCTTCCCTTCTTTCTTCTCTCTCTGTGAAACCCAAATCTGCTGGGCTCGATGAAACCCAGAAGATCTAGGTTCCATCTTGCAGACTAACTTTCAACGTTTCCTTTTCTCTTATTTAGTTCACATGAATTTAAGGTTTGAACATGGATAAATTTTTTTTAATTTGCAATCAAGTTGCAATGAGGGGAAAGGGGAAAAGAGTGGGAGAATGGAGAAGATAGTGCTTGAGTGGCGATGATTGTTGGGTTTCTTTCAAATTTTAAGATTTTTAAAAATTTTAATTAATGAGACTTAATCAGTGTTACACAAGTTAGAAAAACGTAGATATGACATGGCAAATTTTGATTATGACATAATAGAACTTGTAAACACAACTAAATTGTAGGTTACAGTTGCCTTGTTTTTCTTTGGATAGAATTGCGAAGGTTGCCCTCTTTCTTTCTTCCCCTCCTTTTCCCTTCTTTCTTCCCTCTATGTCGAACCTAATTGCTGGGTTTGATCAAACCCAGTAGGTCGAGTTCAATGAAACCCAGCAAGTGGGATTAGTTGAACCCAGTAGTTGTATTCAACCTTAACTGGAGCAAAGAAAAAGAAAAAAGGGAAGAAGATAGATCGAGGGAGACCAAGTGCTAAGATAAATTTTTTGTCTTTTATTTCTTTTAATTAAAAATATGAATGTTCATCTCATTTGGCATTATTGTTTGTACACATAATCAAATTACAATACATATTATTGTCACGTCATGAAAAGAATTAAAAGAAATAAAAGAAAATGCCACATGAAATTATTTAACAACCATGTCATACTTAACTAATGGAAGGATCAATATTGTGCATTTTTTTAAAATTAAAGTATCAAAAAAATGTAAAAAATTATTGAGAGACTAAATTTAGCATTTAACCATGCAAATATGAGAGTGCTCATACCGGAAAAAACCTTCTTCTTTTAAGAAAAAATTAAAATAAAAATAAAAATTTTGTTTTATTTTATTTAGGAAAATTATTTTAGTATAAATTTTGATGAATAAAAGTAAACGAAACAATATAAGCGCGTAACGGCGTCGTTTTGTACAAAAGAACACTTGACAGTTTCTGGCTATCAGCAAAATGTAAAGAAGCTCTCCAGTATGTTCATCCTCAGTTCCTTCCATCGACGCTCCTCTGCTCCCCTTGGACATTCCAGACTCCACAAAAATGGCAGAAGCCGTACTGTGTGGTGAAAAGTCTACTCAATTTCTTTCTTTTCT